TGCAGTTAGAGGGGGTTACGGTTAAGTCAAGTATATCACTATTTTCTCTACGTGGCTTTTCTCGGGAATGATTTTCAATAAAATTAAATTAAAAACAAAAATAAAAAGGGTGATCACCCCCGCAGCTGCAGATGGTCCAACTTATTTGTATGTGCGTGCTTTTAAACTTAATGCCGGATATAGAGAATCGCGTTTTTATTTAATTTCTTTCGCGTTTCCGACAGTTCCACACTACCTGYATGAACACCGATTCACCAACACTCGCTAAACCCTTACCGACGGCCGTTTTCCTGGTTTTTGGTGAACAGGTGTCCGCGTTATAATATTACATATTATTTTGTTTATGTTATTTTGTCGTGTGCGTATACCTGTCGTGTATAATACGCATATGTTCGTGTATATAATATATATATATATGTATATCGATCGTATATTATGCGTGTTGGTTGTTTTTTGCGTACGGAGAAGCTGCTTTCACCGTCGTCTAGTCCAAGGCTGCGTCTGGTTGTCTATCATCCGGACAAGGCTGTGCATTTATCTCACGTTAGCATACACGTATATTGTGTTATGATGTGTGTATACAGTTGTGGGAGGCGTTTGGCCGCGTATTATATGTTGTGTTCTAAATTTACGGAGCATACGTGTATAGACGTACATACATACACATATATATATATATATATATACCTAGAGGCGCGAGACTTGTACTCAAAATATCGAGCAGAACCTTCATTTATTTTATTTTAATTCCTATAACAATATACGTCGCTTAATGATGGACACGTGCGACGAGTATCGCTTTTTAATATTATATTTCGATTTGCGTTTGGGCATAATAATATGCCCCTTAATGTATGTTTTCCCGTGGCGCCAGCATGCGCTTGTAGTACGCATTTTCGTTGCACGGGTCACCGATGAGTTTCCCGATCAGCTGCTGCTGTAAAACCACTACGGCGCGGGCTTGAGCGCGTGGGACGGACCGACCGCCGACACCTGTTGGTCCAGCCGGATCGCCAACGCGAAAATACGGTCAGCAGTCTTCGAGGGGTAGGCGGATAGTGTTGGGTGACATTTGTTTTCGTATATAAATGTTATAAATAACGATAGAATATTATTATTTTATTATGCGCGTCAAACCAACAGAAGATTCTTCACATTATTCGCGGAGTTTCTCTTTTTTTTCTACATGATTATTAAATGTTGTTATGCTCGTTTTATCGTAACAAGAAAACGATATTATTATGCTATTATGAATTATTGTTTTGTGCACAGAGTTCTGATTTGTAGTAAATAGATGTATGAGTGATGTGTTTTTTCTTTTTCCAGTTGATTATGTATGTTTAGCTGGGTTTGAGAATCTACTGCAGCCTGACAGGAAAATTCTATATGACTATTTTCTCCATATAGTGATTGATCAACATGTGTACACTTATTAACCCACTTATGAATTTAAAATTAATATATTGACAAAAACTAACGTGAAAAACAGATGATGTTCTTATCTTTAAAAAACACATTAGTCATCATTAAGTACAAAACAGGATCGTGCACTGCAGCCGAACAGACCACAAAACAACAATAAATAAAATATGTAATATGATGACATCTTCTTGCGGTTCGTAACAAGACAAAACGAAGATAACAATGATCGTGTTGAAAAAGAGTGAATCACGTACGATAATCCACTTTTGGGTCAACGCGCATAATAAAATAATTAATAATACTTAGTATCGTGTAAGTTAGGCATCTTATTAGAGGACRCCATATATCCACCTAAGATAAGTTGATATTTTCGGCTGAATTGTCACGTCAATAACGTCCAATAACCTTATTTTTTCCTGTTCAAAAAACTGGGAACGGGTGGGAATCGTCCAATAACCTACCATTTATTGTAAAATACGTTATTATAATATTGGTACTTTTAATAATTATTGAATTCTACTATACTGGAATTTAAAAATTCCACATACAATCCATATTCAATATTAATACAATCTCTTGATTGTATAATTAATATTTATTCAATCTTTTGACAATGTTTTTTTTGCTGTCTGGGATATATATTGTGAATACACTCCATCTCGCAATAATGATTAATTATTAAAGAATTTCACAATAGGATTTTTGTGTTTTTTTTTGTTTTTATTTGAATTCTTATAAATTTCAGAGAAAATAACACGTGTGCGATAAGACATATTGTATATACGCGTATATTATAAACACAGTGTATATATATATCGTTGATACATATAATATAATATTTTATTATCGTATCGATCGCGAAAACAATAAACGGTTATTGTTTATTTTTTCGTTCTCGTGCGTACACGTACGCTGGTGTGCACAAGCAATCTGACGTTAATTTATTGCCCGGCCTACCTTGCATAAAAAAAAAAAAAAACATGACGCGCTTTTTACCGGACGACGATGACGACTGACGAACCAGCAAAGCAGCCCATACGTTCGATGCATTAAACATTAGGTATTTTATATTTTACTGTTCCAGCGTCCTTGTTTCACTGTCGTATACATTGCGATTGTGACTATACCTATATGTATACACATTCGTTTATATTATAATATTATACCATATATATGTATATAAGTACCTATATGATATATTTAATTGTCCATTCCGTTATACATAGTATGCGCAATCGGTGGTTCAACATTTAAAAGATTATATGTACGTATAAATAGGTATGATGTTTTTGTTAGATTTCACAATTTTCGGTCCGCTTAGTTCAGTCGTATTTTGTTTTATCACACATGGTAGGTACCTGTACATAATGTCTAGTTCGCTATTTTCGATACTGCCATCGTATCATAACATTGTTTAAATAGTATAGGTATCTCCTATACATAATAATGTATGCGCACTATTACTTGTTTATTTCGCACATAGYACATGTGTATTTACGAGAGTACGAAACACCGAAATGGTTTACAGACTTACAGTATACATGCAGTGTATTATTCACGTATATTGCCTCGTTCGACGAATAAAATAAAATCGCGGGTAAATAAACAAACTGAGATTTGTTTAAAGTCTGAACCGAATCGACGGATGATGCGAGCGTAATATAGTCGGTTAAAAATAATAACACATTCGTTTTATCGAAAACGATGTCTGAACGATTAATTTACGACGAACAGTTGGTGCAAATATATATATATATATATATATACCTATATGTTTTATACTGATATGAACTATTATATATTGAAGTATGTGTGTCAAGTAATCGTCGGAAAGTAGCTATGAAATCCATAATTTACAATATAATATTTATGATTATATAGATAAGTTTAGACTATACATTTTTTTTTTTTGTTCACTCAAAAGGCGTTATTTTTATATAATTCAACGGACCGAGTATCGCATAAATATTATGTTATGTGTTATATTTGTTGTACAGGTGTTTGTTTAAATACGTTTTTTTTTCCATTCGCTCGTAATTCGTACCAATATGTACTGTGGTCGATTGTGACGAGTATATTGTATTACATCGCATGTATACATATGGTGTGTACTGTATATACATAGTGACCGTTATTTTATACTATGCATTATAGTATGCAGTTTATACACGGTGTTACGCAATATATAATTAATATGCTGGTTCACGGGGGACGACAGATATGGCGGGAGACTTGTCCAGGGGGCCTTTCTCGGATAGTATACTAATTTAACCTAATATTATAAATGTACATTATGCATTATTGTAAAAAACTTTATAAATGCTGATAAAAAATACGATTTCGTCATAACTCATAATATTATATGTTATTGAGGTATAGGATAGGTGTGTGTGTCTTAAATTATTATAATTTTTTTTCTCATTATCACCATTGACAGGTGCTATATTCTTCACATCCTTTGGCTTATTTTGTATTATTAATATAATATGGTGAAGCAACGAAAGTATATATTTATCGCTATGTAACCTATAGTCTGAAAATAGTCAAAAATTCATATCCTCCTTAAAAAAAAAAAAAAAAAACAGTGTGCCATTAATCATCGGCCGTGGTTTATATTCTATTCTATAAATGTGTAGGTACATCATATTATTATTATCCGTTCTGCATTGCTGCAGTCGTGATATAATACGCCTATTAATGACCAGGAGTTTTATTCCTACTTACCTGTTTAATAGTGGCTATATGAGATTATATTAACGAGTACCTACCTATATTAAATCTAAATATTATTACCTATTAGGCCGGTATTATATTGCCAAGTCGTGTCATCGCGCCTGTTATATGGTGTGTTGCGCATGCAGTGTATATGTAAAAAACGATTCGCCCGCGACCTCTCGCCGACATACTACAGTAGTCGAAATTCAATATACCATATTATATAGGTATATTATATATAGGTAACTATACTTATTTATTATTGCTTGTATAGGTTATATTGAGGGTGGGTAGGCTTTCGGATTCGGAACGGGTTTGGCACCGGAAATTCGCTCGGGTCGACCGTCTTCAATCATCGGACGTCTGAATTTCAGTGCAGCGGCAAATGGCTATATAATAGGACGAGTAGGCGAGTGAGACACGACTTGGAGATGCACGTGGGCGGCACAGGCGGTGGCGGGTCGCCCACCAGCGCCAGCCTTATACCTGCAAGCTCGCGGTTATCGCGCGACAATGGAACGCGTTATTATAATATTTATATACACATTATTATTATAACTTAATTACCATAATTTTTATTATAATTTTATTATTAAATACACGTTACGCGTGTGTTTATGCGGTGGATTGCTCTCGTTCATCGTCGTTGTTGTTATTTGTGCACGTCACGGCGACGACCTTCGTACTGCGAATTGCGAAACTTAAAAAAAAAAGCCCATACTACACAAGCATGTGATATTATATATATATATATAATAGTATGTGCCTATAGTGTGTGCCATTATGTATATCGCATATAATATAATCGGTGAGTGGCTATTTTTTATTAATTTTATTTTTTTCTTTCTTTTTACGTCATATAGATCGCGGCCGCGGTGAGCTGTTTTGGAAAATTCAGCTCGACCAAGACCTGGTGGACACCATTTCGTCAATTTACCCCGAGTGGTTCCGCCAACAACAGCAACAGCAGCAGCAACAGCAGCAGCAGCAACAACAGCAGCTGCAGCAACAGCAACAGCAGCAGCAGCAGCTGCAGCAACAGCAGCACACCGACCCATTAACCATGCAGAACAATAATTCGCAACCGTCTCCGCCCTCAGCCGAGGTGGACGAATCACCGTTACAAAAGTCTATGGACAAAAACAAAGAGTGTGAGTAACGACCTGACTGATATGTTCAATATGATATATAATATTTAGATACATATAAGTGTAACTCTACTGGCTACGTATCGTCTATCAGTCCAGCGAATTATTTTTATGACGATATATATATGACTCGCAGTCGAAGGACACGAAATACAGACTTTAAGGGTAGGCGAGGTTGCAATATATTGGCGTGCATATTCATCATATTCATATGACTTGTGATCCAGTCCCACCTTCCCCCGGGGATAGGTGCGTGGGGGCGATGTAAATTCCATTTATTTCCTTTAAATTACCAATATATGTTGTTTCCGTCTAACCCATAACATATACCTACCAATTTATATACGTTCAGCAGGTCCAGCTTTTTATTGTTAACTTATCAAATTTAAACCTTTAAACATTATCTATGTTCTCTTGTTGATTATGAACGATATTGACATTTTTAAACGAGAGTTATTTGAATTTTTAAATATAATTATTTTATAAATATTCATGACTTGCTTAAAGATTAAAATATCTAAAATGAAACAACTAAAGAGCGCTACAGATAATWTTTTTATTGTTAAATACTGCAATAATTATAGATCACTTTACTTTAATATAATCAAGCACACACAATTTGAAACTGTTGTATATAAAAAATAGCATTATATAGCCCATGATTTTAAATTCGAACGCTTTGACCTGTGGTTAACCGCAATTACGTTCTTGAGGGGTGGGCGGGGTTGCCATTTTATATCGGAATGCATGCATTTTTCGCGGTTTAGACCCCCTTCCAGGGGAAATCTCTTGTGGGCAATGGAAATTCCGTTCATCTATTCTAAACTCTAAAGCACCAAATATTGCACTTATTGGCTGTATATTATACAAGATAATGACACCACTCCCGTGCATAAAATATATAGATACAGTCGTTAGGTTTACATGTACCTAGTACTTTAGTTTTTAGTAACCACTACAGCATCCGTTTTAACCGCAGTTTTATTATACCATGACGTCTATYGATGTACAATGTACATATCATTTAAACTTCATTTTTAATAAATGCAATGACTAGGRGACATTAAATCAATGATCACGTATTTTCATGTATCATATGATACATATAAAAACATTTTTTGTTTACATGAAATTACATTATAATTCTCGATTGTTTTGGTTACGATTATATTAGCACTATAAAACGTGATTTGTGTATGTAATAAATACATGGTTCATYACAAAAGTGAAATATTAGTAAACACTATAAATACTTCCGCGGAAAATCATTAATATTTTTTACARTRAGATGTTTTTGTCAGTCTTACTCGTTTTAGTCTAGGTTAAACTACTTATACACCAYCATACCATAATATAAAAAAATAGTAGGYAACCTTATTATTGTATGAATCATTGTATCATACGAGAGTATAAATTCTTAGCTAATCTATGTTCCGAATATATTTTAATTGCTTTTTATAGCTAAATTTAACGAATTCATGGAATTTTGGGACTTATATATAGGGAGCGACTGTACTGTTATGATTGGTCTCACCGGGTTAATTCGTTGACACCAGGTATYGTTGAGTTCGTCAATCCGGAAGTTTTGTTTTAACCTAACCTAACACTGATAAGTTTAATGATATAAGTAAAAATATTTATCGAAGACAAAAATTACTACACACTATCTTTAACGGACGCAGATATACATCGACTGACTCGCTCGTACGGGACAGTCTTACATTGTACGCATGTCGAATGTCGAGTCAGCATTCTCTCCCCACATTACAAATTGTTCATATAATAATAATAATAATCGGAGACCGATTCATAACAGTACCATAAGGCGCCGTACCTACCCTAGTATTTATAATAGCAAATGCTTATACGATTTTTTAGAATTTGTTGGTTTTTWAAAATTATACGTGTTACAAGTAAATGTACTTTAAGAATTTTTCTATTATTGTTTTGCACAATTTTTATCAGCGTATTCATAAATATGAAAATATCTAACGATCTTTAAKTGGAAATCGATCGCATTAAAAGCTTTGAGTGTAGTGATCTCTATTCTCTACGTCTGCAATAAAATGTTCACTTGACTCTGCAGTCATATAAAATATTACTATTTCATATTTTCATCGCATTATATAAGATGATCTTATTGTACACTTGCATTCTATGTTGTCTCCGTCATTCCGCCTCACTAACGCKTATAACCAAAATGTACGTTCAACAGTCCCATTTTTTTGCCATTCATATATAATATTTTTATATCATAATGAACTGACTTAATGACTCATGTTCTTAGCTGTTTGTGGTTTTATGATAATTTCATTTTCAAGAAAGTTATGAAAGTTATGAAAATTTTTAAATAATAATATAGTAATTTTACATAGGTAGGTATAGTAGGTACTTAWATATTGCTAGTGAATYACAATATTTTAAAAATCAATGGAGAGYAACTATATACAAATAAAATGTTTTCCTTATCTTCAAATTTTATTATAGATCAATTTAGTATAATATTTAAGCTAATAACACAAAATTATAAATTATGTTTGTATATCACGCGTTGCTAATATAACAAGATGGAAATGCTGCACATGTGCATAGATACAACGCCCTCTTAAAATTAATATAAAATACATTTCATAATGTTACGCTACAATTATTGATCTTGGCGGATGCGACAAAAACTCGCGAATATATATTTTAAAAAACTCAAAAAGTCCAATTTCATCATTCTGATCCCGAGAATAGCGGTTGTTTACTGCGGGTGAGTGTTGTAAACATATTGATAAAATTACTATCTATCGTCGTGACCTGTTAACGCGAGCTGTTTTTCTTTTCTGTTCACTCAAGCACGTTAATAAATAAATAAAAAATAAATAATAATATTATACACATTATAATAAATAGGGAGAAAAAAACACTCGAAAACATTGTCGTTGCCCGTTGGAATACCGTTTTGACAGATTCTTGTTGCTGGATCGTTTATAACGAAAAATTTCGAGATGACGTCTCTTTAACACAAACAGCAATACAGCACACTCACAGATTTATATATATTTATAAATATACACATATATTACTCGTAGGCCTAGTACTGCGCGCTGTATAGGAGACGCGTGTTTAAAGTTAAAATAATTATGTTGTTTATAAACATTCGTTTTATTAGCCGACGCGTGACAAATCGCATTGTTTATGTCACGATCTGTCGCCCGGGTTCTCGCCCGCCGAAAATCGAATTGAAAAAATAACTTAATAATAGTCATAAGTAAAAAAAACGGCGTCTGGGCCCGGACGTTCATCCCGTCACGGCGGCGTCAGTGGCAGTGGCGTCGCGTTGGTGGCGACGATGTTTTATTCGAAAAAACGAAGAGATAGGGTTGGGCTGCTGTTGTTGTGGCAACGACGGCCTATTTACTGTACGATTAATGACTTTGCGCAACGGCGACGGCAACAATGTATATAATTATATAATTGATATAGCGATAAATTGTCGTTGATATTATTGCGTTCGGTTGCATTTGTTTTTTATTATTATTATAACGGAAGCTAATTGTTTCGAGAAAAACGGCTGAAGACAGCGGCGGCGTGCCAGATTACGAGAAAAACGTCCGCCTCGGCCTACGGAGAGACTATAGGCCATAGGGTGACGCCGCCGCCGCCGCCGTTGAGAGTCGATGACCCAAATAAACACACGCGACGGGCACGCGATTATTGTCGCGTGCGACGACGTTACTGATACGCCTCCGCTGGATAAAAAAAAAAAAAAATTAATAAACAAGTATATCCTTTTCGACGAAAATCGTGTAAATACCAAAATAATATACGAAGTGTTGTTGTTATTATTACCATCGTCCGTGCGCGTGTACGTGACCGCGGCTCGAGCCTGTCATGCATACATTATTATCACGCATCTATTATTGTTTGTATATATATATATATTATATATGCTTTGTGTTTATATCTAGCCGATGCAGTGCCCTATACATTTTATTAATACACAATGCGATATGTGATAATATAATATGACATTTTTGAAAGAAATACGACTCCAGCGTCCTTCAATGGAAATTAAATGTCCACTGTACTTGGTGATTCATCACGAATCCACCCTCTTTCATCATTTATTCAAATTCTGAGTTTTACATTTTTAAGTTTACCCAATGAAAAACCCTGTGTTTTCGATTACTTAGATTATTTCAAACTGTAGTCTATGGTAATATTACTGACTTCTTTTTTTTGATGCGAAAACAGCCCTTTTTTATTTGAAAATCCATGTGGCTTGTATTCATGTAGCCCACCCCTGTTATATACATATGAATACAAAAAGTTGTATCTTGTGTATTCCACTATATAGGTATATCAGAAATGTCCAATGTTATTCATATCATTATTTTAAATCGAATATTATCGTAAAAAACAACACGAAACATTCTGCGGCCAGCAATCTCGCAGTTGTCACGTCACTCACGTATACCGCCAAAAACGGGTCGTGTACGTGATTCATCCTTTATAACTTACAGCAGGAAACGAATACATATAGYGTGTAATATAATCGTTGCAACTTGCAGGTGAATGGTGTTAAAATATACAGGATGATTCTTTTATCAAACAACACTCATTATTTAAAAAAGTATTGACTTTTTTCAATTTTTTTTTCTTCAAAATTGTAGATTTACACTCTTTTTGAATTGTTTATTTTTATTTTTTATTTTTCACCCTTATATTTATTAGATAAACCACTATCAACTTTTGATTTTCAAATGGTAACCTATACTTAAAATTTCATAAATTAATAAAGCTATTTTTTTTATTAATTATTAAGTTAAAATTTCGAATTTAGCGCTAGTAGTTTATGAGTTATAGGTATTTAAAATTTAGATTGGCAGAGTGGGATGGTACGGGGTTACCCCGCAAAATTTCCACTACACCGCTTGTCTAAACTTAAAATACTTATAACTCATAAACTACTCGTCCTAAATTCGATTTTTATGTATCAACATTTTTAGAAAAAT